CCATGAGGCGCTGGACCAGTGGCTCCTGAATGTCCCTGGGGACACCGGTGTCCAAGTAGCCATTTGGCAGGTGACACTGGGGCTGACATGCTGGCAGGTACCCAACCTGCCACACCAGCCCCGAGGAGCTGAGGCCTGCTCAGTGTCTATTAAGGTTGAATTTTGAAAATAACATAATAATTTTTCACTGTGACTCAGAGCAAGGGATGGGATCAAGTTCCTTTCAGATGACAAGCCCAAGGGTTTTTGTTCTCTTGGCGCACTGTTCTTCAGCTCACAGGGCACGGTGTGTGGACTGCTGCTGTGCAATTACACACCAGGCATTGCCAGCTATTTGTGGCCCAACGAGCCTTTTTTTTTTTTTTTTTTTTTTTTTTTTCCCAAGCTCTTTGCTTTGTCTCAGTGAATCAAATCTTGGCCCTGGGCAGGATTCACATCTGTGCCTTGAATTAACAAGTGGGTGATAAGCGTCTTCTTTATTACTTGGAGAGCATAGGTCAATTTTATAAAGACTTTGCAGAAGCATGGATTTACAACTGTTCATAAAGATACCAAGAACAATGACAAGAGCAGGAGGACACTGGCCTTTATTAGCTCCTTGCTTTGAGAAATACATTAATCAACTGAAATTCAATTTAAAAGACCCAAAGAGGAATATATGAAAGGATTAGCCAATTGATATGTAATTGAATTACGAGTTCAGATGTGGTTAGTAGTGAAATCTGAGTGTGAAAGAAAGCCTACAATGATCCAATGTACAGCCTCATCTACTGGCAAATGACCCACTGATTTCCAGTGCCTTTGCTTGTTGGCAGCCATCACACCCACAGCGATTTCATGCACAAAATCTACACAAAAGCCAAATGCAGGCAGAGGGTAGAGCGCCAGCAAACCAGATTCTGCATTTATTGGACTCAGAACAACAGCAGATTCTCAGGTTACAAAAGGAACTGAACACCAAGCATGAGGGGCCACCCTGTGGCATGGCTGGGGGCTCACGTGGGCCCCAGGCATGGCTGAAAGAGAAAGGAGAATTTTCATTTACCCCCAGCACGGTGTCATGGGTTTCTTTACCTGGGTGCCAGGCAGGCCCCTCTCTTTGGTTACACAAATAAACGTCCTTCAGTCCCACATGGGGACTTGTGAGCTGCAGTTGTCCCCAGGGCATCCTGCACTGCACCCCATTGGCCCCAGCAGCATCTGTCACCACAGTCCAGCCCCCATGGTACCAAAACACTCTGGGGCTCTCTTCCTTATCCAATGCATTCAGTTCCAATTAAAAAAAAAAAAAAAAAAAAAAAAAAAAAAAAAAAAAAACAAAAAACCAAAACCAGCTGTGTCAGCAATCCATCTAATTCCTTCTCTGGGATAATTTACCCTCAGGTCATGCTATAATTTGGGCAAAGCACTGTGGTTCCAGAGTAGGCCAGACCAGGCTGTGTGCTCTGCCACCTGCATCATGTGGTTTGTGAGGTCTCCAGGGTCACAGTCCCACCGAAATGGGGCCAAGGCATTCCCAATATCATGCTCAGCCCTCACCTTGGAGTCAGGCCCCAGGAAAGAACCAGCACCATACCCCAAAGTCTCTCTGCCATTCCAAGGCTGTTGGCTCTTTTTCTTCTGGCATTCATTGGCTTCTGTCTTTCCCTCAGCTCTGGTGGAAGGAGCAATTGCAGACTGGCCTTTGTTATGCCCAGGAACACAGCTGTGGGCTGGGAGGGCCCCCCCAGGCAAAAAGGCACGAGCAATGACCTTTTTGGCTTATTACAAAGAAAGTAAAATATATCAAATAGAGAACTCTTATTATTACAGAGACATGTTAACAAAGAGAAACAGCATAAAATTGCCACAGAACACCAAATATCCGGCACAGAGAGCAGCTTTTATCCACTTGCTAAGGGTTTATGTGGGTGCAGAGATTTATTCTGTGAGTCACAAGCACAGCATCCCTCTGCTGCTGAAGGGAAGGAGCACGGGGATCAGGCACCACTGGGCAGCGGAGGCTCTGACCCACCCCAAGGGGCTGGGACACCCTGCCTGCCCACGGCCACCCCCAGGGCCCACAGCCACAGGTGGAACACAGACACTCTCTGTAACCCCAGCATTCTGCCCAAATGTGTGAGGACACTTTGTGCAAGTCAAAGAGGGAAGAAACAAGGGACACTCTGTTGTTCCTCAAATGCAAACACTGTCCCTGTTTAACCTCAAGAAGACACAGGAAGGCTGGAGAAGGTGATACCAACCCCAGCCTATGTTAGTGTGTGCTCTGTGCATGCCACAAAAGGGGGGAACCTTTGCAAACTGGGCAGCACCCAGCCAGAAAAATAATTAAAAGTCTCCATTAAATTGGCACGTTCTGACTCATCTCCTGCAAAGCATCCAGTACCTCAGTGTGCAACCAGAGAGGACTCTTAGAGCACGCCACTAAATAGATATCTTTAGCAATAGAAAATGGGCCATGCCTTTATTTTATACAGAGATAGATAATTTTAGCATACATTATGTTATTGAAACATCCAGGGCAAGAGCTCAGCAAGGGGAGGGACACCACAGGGACTGCAGGGCTGACCGGTGGTGGGAGGTGACTGGGGACAGCAGCTCTCAGGCTGGCTGGGAGGCAGGTGACACCTCAGGTACCCCTCAGCATTCCCTACTGACCACAGGGACAACCCCACGGCCCAGAGCAAGGAGTGGTACTGCAGGGAGGGTCCTGCCCCAGCTTCACCTCCCTCACCAAGCACCCTGTTCCCTGAGCCAAGCACAAAGGGCCTCTTGGACATTATGGCAGTGACATGTGGATGCTGCTAGTTCTCCCGACTCAACCACAGCCTTTCCAAGCAGAGAGCTGCTGTCCTGGCTCTTGCTCCTGCTGAGCTGAGCTCCCTGCTGAGGCAGGGGGATGCTGGCAGGAGCCTGTCAGGCTCAGGTGGGCACAGGTCGGTGATACCTGCCCTGGGAATGCTGCATGCCATTGCACCATTTGATCTGTGCCACTGCTTCTGGCATGACACAGGGCTGAGGAAGCGCCCCTCCTGCCCTCACTAAAGGCAGCATCCTTTATCTCACACCCTCTGTTATGGAATGGTGCCCATCCATGCACAAACACTGCTCCCAGGGAGATGCCAGCGTCTGTTTCCCTTGTCCTCCATCTGCTGCCTTGGGCAGGAGCTGATGGGCTGAGCCATGACCCAGACTGAGCCAGCTCAGAACCCCTCACACCTCTGAGATGGGCCAGAGCAGAGTCAGGGAATCCACATGAGAACATGGAGATGGTTGGTCTCAGCCCAAGCCCAGGGCTCAGCCAGCCCGAGGAGAGCCTCAGGGACAGCTTCTTTGGGACTGTGAACACAGTGAAATTCTCCTTGCTTTATTAAAGCAAAAATAGACAAGAAAATGCAGAAAAAAAACCCCCAAAAAGCATAAAGATAAATGGCAGGAGTTGGACTTTGGTATTTCTTAAAGCTTCTTCTTCCCCAGTTCCTGCAGCAGCTCATGAAAAATCCACATGGAAACAGCATTAATTCCCCCAGCAAAACACACACACAGGTGCTGCAAGTCCTGGCTCCCACATTTCCTGGTAATCATATTGTAGAAACCCAAGTTTTGAATGAACAAGTTGCAGAAGTTTACTGTGATAGTGAAGAGACAGAGAACATGACCTCAATGCCCCTGACTGCCCCTCTGTCCTGGGCTGGGGTGCTCCCCGTGAGCTCCTGCCTCGCTCAGCACTCGCTGTCCAGAGCAGCTTCACACTGGGTGACACACACGGGGCAGGTGATGCACGGCAGAATCCTTCCCCTGCTCCCCCACTTCTCATTCACATGGTGCTCCCACCAGCAAAGCAGGGTTAGGGCAAATTCCTGTTAGGTTTGGCCTCTTTTCAGTCTCCCAGCAGATGAACACCCAGCAGGACACTGCCACACTCATTAGCCAACCAAACCTTCACTGGCACGAGCCTGTGTGAAGCACGGAGCTCTCCCAGATTGCTGTTCCAACTGCTTGGAGCCATCCTGAGCTGATAACAGGCACTGGGAATCACCACTCATCTGCTAACTGAGCTCTGCTGTGAAGAGCCAGGGAAATTTCCAGAAGACAGGGATGCACCAGCTGGAATTTTTACTGGTTCATTTGCAAATATCTGTAGCTCACGCCATCACTGAAAATGCCAGCAGCCCCCTGGCATGGGGGAGCCTCTGAGGGCAGCAACCCGCTGGCTGCCAGCCAGAAAGTTCACCTGTGGATTCTGTTGCTGCCTACATGAGAGGATTTCAGGAGGAAGAGCAGGATCAGAGCCATATCTAGCAGAGGAAGGAAAACCATTGCAAAGAAAAATCCTCCCCTTTGATAGGCACTTTTCCCTCACTCTTTCTTATAGTGACAATCCCATCAAAAGGTTGGAAAGCATCAGGGAAATTGTTTGTTTTACTCCAAGTGTGTAAAGGAGCATCTGCACCATGATGGCATTTCCTGGAGAGCTGGGCACAGGGTGGGCACAGGGTTCTGGGGGTGCTCACTGCCCTGGGAGGGTGCAGAATTTGCTGTTTGTCTGTGCTGGCACAAGAATCCCTCAGAGATGTCTGGGTTGGTAATGCCAGGCCATGTCACAGCCCATGATGGCATGTGTGACCCTGACATGTGCAGTCACCAACAGCCTGTCTGGGTCTGGGCAGGTGGTTTTGATGTACTCAGGATGTGCAGGAAGAGGGGAACTAAAACACCACAGAGCACGTCGGCTTGGCTGCTGTGCGTGTGCTGGGGACAGGCTGGGTGTGTGGGGTGGTGCACACGGGATGGGGTGTGTGGGTGGTGTGTAAGGGGTGGTGTGTGGGGTGGTGTGTAAGGGGTGGTGTGTGAATGTGTATGGTGTGAAAGGGATGGTGTGTGTGAGTGGTGTGAAAGGGATGGTGTGTGTGAGTGGTGTGTAAGGGATGGTGTGTGTGGTGTGTAAGGGATGGGGTGTGGGGTGGTGTGTAAGGGATGGTGTGTGTGAGTGGTGTGAAAGGGATGGTGTGTGTGAGTGGTGTGTAAGGGACGGTGTGTGTGGTGTGTAAGGGATGGTGTGTGGCTGGTGTGTAAGGGATGGTGTGTGGGTGGTGTGTCAGGGATGGTGTGTGGGTGGTGTGGTGCATACAGGACCATGCACATGGGACAGTGAGTGCACAATGGTGTCCTCCTGGGCTCAATCAGCCACTGCCATCAGCAGGAGCTGTGTGTGCTGCTTCCAAGAGCAGGCAGTCTCTTGGTGCTTCCCTTGCAGCCCCCCAAAGTGCCATGGTGGCAGCAGCCAGTTCCCACCTCTCCATGGACAGGATTCAGAGACGAGTCCCGTGGTCCCACATGTCCCACAGACCCTGGCCTTGGTCTTGGCTCCAGAACACTCATCTGCTGGCATTAAAAAAAATAGTTGGGACAAAATATTTGGGACAAATGAAGGGAAAGAGCATAGCTGGAATCCCAAGTCTACAGAGCCATGACAGGAGCAGAGCAGGTGTGGGGGCAGAGGCTGCAGGTGCCCAGGGGAGCCAGGCAGGAGTGAGGTCCGAGGGTATCAGGCACTTTCAGAGGTGGGTTCAGCTTTGTCAGGGAGCAGCAGCTGGCAAGGACAGGAATGTGACTGCTGAGCCCGGGGGTCTGCGGGGCAGACCAAGACCCAGCTGGACAGGCCATAAGAAAAACATGCCAGGTGGAAAACAGGAGCCAGCCATCGTTGGGGGATCTCCAAGGTGATCTTCCTTGGCAGGCCTTCCGCTGCAGCCTGTCCGCTCCATCGCTCGTGTCTCGGCAGTGCAGGCCGCTCCCAGGGCCCAGCTGACCGGAGCAGATCCCACCGTGGCTGCAGGGCCCATGAACTCCTCAGCCACAAATTTGCCTTGTCCCCCAGCTCTGCTCTGCTTCTCTTCTGCAATGTTTGACCATATCTGCTTCCCAGCACCATAATGCAAACAAAACATCTGGAAGGAGGCTGGCGACATAACCCACACCCAAACGCGGAGCTGCAACTTCCTTAGTGTTGTATTGTTTTTATAAAAATCACCCCAAACCCACCAACCACTGGCACTTCTTCTGCTGTCCTGTGGCCCTGGGCTGCTGAAGTCACAGTGACAGAGGAGAACACTCAGACATGGTGCCACTGCCCCCAGCAGTCTCTGTCCAGCACCGTGAGCAGCTGGAGCCAGGCAGAGGTCGGCGCCAGGGGTTCAGTTCAGAGGTACCTCAGGAAAATAGTAATCTCAGGAATCCCAGCAGGTCTGTCACTGCCTGTCCCCTTGGCCACCGCCGCAGAGGGATTCCCCAAGGCACTGCAGGACAGTAGTGCAGAAGTAACAGGCAGGAGATGGCTGGAATGGGGGTGGCAGCACGGGGAACCCTCTGAAAGATCACTGTGCGTGGAAGTAGATAGGCTTGACTTTTCCAGACAGGATCTTGGGAACCTGCACAGAGATGATCTCGGCCATCATTTCTGGGTAGTCCACGCTCACCATGTGTGCCTTGATTAGGAGATCAAATGTAAACTGATGCAGGTCCTTGGCAATCTGGGGAAGGAAGAGAGCTGGTTAAACAAGTCCCTGGGCAGTGCTTTCTTTGGGAAGATACATGACAGAGGTCCCACCTTCCCTGGCAAAGGGAAACTGGATGAGACTATCCAATGCTCTGTCCAATTGCATCTGAACTCCTCCCATGATGGGGAGTTGTTCCAGGGAACGATCATTCTCACTGTGAGAAGTTTCTTTTTTATATTGTTTCTTATGCATTTAGATGGACGTTATGTGTACAGGTGGACATTTCCCTGTCCTCTCTTACCGGATGCACGGAGTCCAGGACCTTGGTGAGCTGGTAAAACCTCCGGGAGCAGGAGGTGGGGTTCTTCCTCTTGCAGGCAATGATACGGTCAAGTTCCTTGATGTAATTCATGCGGAGCTCATCGAAGAGCTTCTGGTTCTTCAGGCCATCCACTGGAACTGGGTGGGAGGGGAAGGAAACAGTGAGAGGAGCCCAGAGAGTGACAACAACAGGAGAGCAGGAGGAAGGCTGAAGCAGGGAATATCCCCAGCCTCCTCCTGGGAGGTGAAAGTCCAGGCACAGGGAAAGCACCAGATGCCTCAAGGGCGATGCAGCAGCAGGTGCTGATGCTCTGTGGAGGGAAGGGTGCAGACACTTACTAATACTGAAGAAGAGGAGAGCCTTCATACAGAGAAACTCCTGGGGTGTGATCTGAAGCCACCCAAATTCCTGGGAGAGGTGCCGCATCCTGATGCACTGGCTGTACATCCTGGATTTGTGCATGCGGTACCTGCCAGGGTGAGACGGGTACAGATGGCACAGAGCCCAAAGTGCATGTGTGACAGGGCGGGACACTCCCTGACCCACCCTGCTGCCCAGGGCCTGAGCCCTGTCCCAGGGGTGCCACATGCAGGAGTGGAGCATTTTCCAGAATGCCTGTGTGTGATCTTCACTGGACACAGATGGCTACAAGGGACATGCAGCATTTGTCTGAAGAGTGACTGCAGTGATTTCCCAAACATTTCTGTCTGTGAGGGATACGAGGCCAAGTTGGAGCTCCCAAGCAGGTGGAGGTTTGCCTGCTGCTGTGCTTGGTTATTGGGTTCAGACTCTTCCATCTGAGTGCCAGCAAACCCTCCCCAGCTCTAAGCTGGTGGTACACCAAGGAGAGCCCACCAGGACCTTACAGTACATTTTGTCTCTATCTCTGCTCACCCCAGCTGACCAACACAGCTGGAATTCAAACCCCCTAGCAGAAAGGCAGAAATGGAGAGCAGTCTTTCACCCCACACCAGCTTCTGCTGCTGCCCCAGTGGGTGTCAGCCCACAGCAAGGCTGAGGGAGCAGGCAGAAGCATCTGGAGAGGCATCACAGTGCCCTCACTGCTTCTGGAGGTCACCATGGGTGGTGGCAGTGGGGAGCAGGCTGGGCACGGCCAGGCTGGGCTGAGCAGCTCAGTGTAACTGCTCTAAGTGTGGATTATCACCTCCAAAGGCCAGCATTAGGCTGTTGTTGTTTCACACTTACTCATTGAAGACCAGGTCAGGAGCGAAGTAAAGCATCCTGGAATTGACGTTGGTGAAGGATCTCCAGCCCATAGCAAACACCATCAGGCCCATCCAAGAGTACTGGATTATTGACATCTGGTCATCCACATGCAGGTTGCGAAATCCTAACAAACAATGGGGGAAGGATGTTACAAATTACTGTTGGGTTCTTGCAGTTTCCAGGGCTGTTTCCAGGCAGACTCCAGCTCTCCTGCAGCGCTTCTCTTAGGACAAGGTGGTCAGTGCACAGCCCAAGCTCAGCCAGCTCATGTCTCAGGACATGAGTCATGACATGGAGCTCCCACCTTGACTGGGAATCAAGGATAGGCAAGCACAAACCTGCCCCTGGAAGGGAAGAAAGGGAATTTCAGAGACAAATAGAGGAGAAAGTCCCATTAGGACTTCACCAAATTTAAGTAACTGGATTTTAATGTGATGCTCAGAGCCAGCAGGCAGTCCCTAGGCCTCCCACCATGGTTGCAGGTGCTCTGGTTTCTGCCCCATACACACTGCAAGGATCTTTGGACTGTGGGAATGAGCATGTAACCTCAGCTACATTGCAAGAGAAACAAAAATAGCAACTAAATTCAGATTACCATTCCCAGATGGCAGCCCAGAGTTAAACCCCAGGCATGCTTACACCACCTCCAACGCTGTTTTTTTCAACATGCTTGTAAATAGGCAAACGTAATTGAGTTTCAAGGCAATCATGCATTATTTCAATCAAATATTAAAGCAATTTAACAGCTCCAGTGTATAATTATAACCCATTGAAGCAAGGATCTCTGTGCTTTGGAGAGCTCTTCAAGGCAAACAAGCTGGAGAATGAACCTTGCCCAGATGCCATCCTGGCACAGTCAGCACTGGCCCCGGGGGGCAGCAGGGCAGCAGCTGACACTGCTACACACTGAGGGCTCGGGCATCAGGTGCAATTCAGGAGAGTAAAACCCTCTGATAAAGGGGTGGTTATGATAGAAAACATTTCCCACAGCACTCTCCCTTTCCATCAGCACTACTGCAGTGGTAGAACCTCAGCCCTGCATGCCAGGTGGCTTTGGTGGTGTCTCTGTGGATCTTGATATCTGGTGTAGACAAGCCAAAGAGGAAGCAGGATTTGTCCCTGGTTTTACAAGCCAAGTGACTCAAGAATAGCAGAAACAGAATGGGCTACTCTGCATTAAGGGTGTGCAGACCAATATGCCATTGGGAGCACCAGTCTAGGGGGCTGCTAAACTCCTGGGAACGTCAGACACCTGACCACAGCTCATCACCAGGATTTGGCAGAGTGGCAAACTTACTGTGCATCAGCCCACACACAGGAGGAGTGGGGTCCCTCTTTTCTCTGGTGTCCCCTGAGGAGTGGGGCCAGAAAGGAGAAGGCAGCAGGAACTGGCCCCATCCCAGCCTGGGATGCTGGGAGGTGAGCTGGGCCCTGCTGTGCCCAGACTGAGCTCAGCCCTCTGCAATCCCACTCACTCAGTTCCAGGATTACAAGGTGGAACAGGCAGCATGTCACCAACCTTGCAGAGATGCCTTACAAATCCAGCTCAATGAACACATCATTCACCGGGATGCTCCATTTTCTGCACCTGCTGACCACCATCTGGAAAATTCCTGACCCCTATTACCTCTCTGAAGACATCACAAATATATCACACCAGGCTGTCACATGGGCAACCTGAGTGGCTGCCAGGAAAAGCCCTTTGGGATTCTGCACTGCTCTTCTGCCATGTTGCTATTTACCCTTTTCATCACTTCAGGTGGGTTTTGGGAGAGGGCTGATCTTTGTCTGGAAGGCAGTTCTGCAGGGCTGGCAGACACAGCTTGGAAGTGCAGCAAAACCTCCATGGAAAGAGGGGGAGAAGAGCAGGACCCTGATCCCAGAGCAGCTGCAGTCCTGCCATGGGGGGACGTGCCCTGTGCCCGCATGGTATCGCTGACCAGGGGCTATCTGAACCCAGAGTGTAAGTTCCAACACATTCCATCACCCCTCAGTTCCTTCTCCCACCATCAGCCCCTCTAGAGACAAGTCCCAGGCTGCTTCCCAGGCAGGGGACACACACACTGCCCATGGAGAAGGACCCCAGGAGCTGTGTGATGGGACAGGGGCTGCAGACCACCCCCTTTGCACCTGCCCCCAGCAGTGCAGATGGGCTTTAGAGCTGAGAGGGGATTTTCTGCTTTCCTTCTCACCTGGCAGGGCCTTTGCCCATTTGACCACGTAGACCAGCTGCCTCTCCCCAAGCTCATTCAGGCTGGTCAGCAGGTTGGAGAAGGAGTCAGGCTGGCTGTTGTCGTGGCCAGCACACACCACCCCAGGCTCGATGGCCTCCAGGACGTTGAGGAAGATGGGCTGGCACTCGTAGCCGTCAATGCGTGTCATCACCAGCTTAGGAGCTTGCTCCTCCGTTGGGCTGGACGAGCTGGCCCCCTCCATGTCATCCTGTGCCTTCAGGTTACCCAGTTTCTTCAGCTTGCGGGCTGTGGGAACAATAGAGTTTAGTGCAATACTTAAAAATATGTTAAAAAATGTCAGGGCTTCTTGGCTCCATCATTGTAGTTATGAGAAAAGGAAAAGTGATGACCAGCAGCAGCTCCTCCCTCAGTGGGCACTGCCCAAGGAGTGCCCTGGCATTGCAGTTCTCACCTAAGGACAAGAGGAGAGCACACTATGTGACAAAATCCATTTTGTTGTTGATCTGACATGGTTAAGAACCAACATAATTTACATCCTCTCAATGACCAGTCTCTAACTCCCACTTAAAAACAGAGAGGAAGATCCAGGGAAGACAGGGAAGAGGTTTTGACTCTACTCAAGCCACTGCGTGTATGCAATCACAAAGAGGAGCAACACAAGGTGATAAACTCAATACACAGTCATGTTCCAGATAGAAAAACATTGTACTTGGATGCCCAAGTGGGATTGTTCCATCCCAGACCAGGGCAGAAGCAGGATGCATCTGAGATAAAAACCTTCTCCCTGCAATGCCTGCTGCCCACAGCCAGGCTTTCCCAAGCACACGGCACACATATCACAGAAAACACATTTCAGAAGCCAGCAGGTGGTTCCAGGGCTGTTTCCCTGGAGTCCCCACCGAGGGGGAGTGGACCCAAGCCGGGTGGCCTCACTCTGCTGTGCAGCCTCATGAGCCCCATCAGCAGAGCAGGCAGCTTGCAGGGGGACCAAAGCAGCAGGTGACTGCCTGTGCCCAACATGAAAAGGTGTTTTCCCCACACAACTGGCTCTTAATCACAGCTGCTGGTCTGCCTGCAAGGCACACCAGCACTCCAGAGGTGTGACACCAGAGGTCTTGGGGAGTCTGTGTTCCCCTCACTGATAACAGCATGACACTGCTCAGCACAGGTGGCCTGCTCCTGCCACCCCTCACCAAATCCAAACCCCAACTAATTAGAGAACAAAAGCCCACAGCTTCCTTCAGCAGGTAATACAACATCAAACCAGTTGTCCTTGGGGTTTTGGCTCCTTCATTATATGATACTTATCTCGAATTTCCTTTCAGCTGTAATTAGAAAAATAAGCAGCAAAACATAAAAATGTCAAATCAAAGTGCAGCTCTGTAAATTAACTCCAAATGTTGATTTTAAGCATTGTACTCTATGATCTGCTGTATGGGTAATGAAGACAGGCTTCTCTGTAAAATGGGAGGAGAAAGGATTAATAAAAATAAAAGAGAGCAAGAGGAAAACAGTGCTGCAGCACAGTATGATGGCCTCTGGCCATCAGCCACTCATTTGATATGGCCTCCTGTCCCTTGCCTCCAAAGTCACAGCTCTGCCAAGGCCACCACTAACCCACAAGTGCCACAGCCACACATCAGTTAAATCCCTCCAGGGATGGTGGCTCCACTGGGGCAGCTTGTGACTGAGTTTGGATTTAGAAATAACCACTGCCCCAGGTCATGTGTGTGAGCAAAGCCAAACCCACATGTACAAAACACCCATATGGTTCGGTTTAAATGCTTGGGTTTTTTCCCTTAATATTTTATTATCTAATATGAAAAGATCCCAACTGAAGTGAGAAGATAGCAAGTACCTACTGCATTGGCTCTGAAACTGCAGTCACAAACCAGACTCCTCTGTGACAATGGGTGATAACTGTGCTACCCAGACAGGCCTTGGGTTTGTGCATTCCAGGAGCACTGAAATACTGACATTACCAGGTGGAGAAAACCTTCAGAGGTAAAGACTGGCTTCTACCCAGTCACCTGTGCCAAACCCCTTTGTGGTGGTGGCTTCTGCTCAGCAGGCTATATAAACAAAAATTTAAAAATCGGAATTAAAGACATCTGTAGTGTTTTTACTCTAGGATCAGCTAAGCTGGGTAGAAGTCTACATTGCACTTCTTCAAACCAAGGTGGGAGGAACCTTAGGACATGTGATCAATATTGGGATGTTCCTGCTTGGCTGTCAGAAGGGACAAGGGGCCCAGGGAGCCTCAAGGTACAGCTGCAGCACAGCACTGCCCCAAGCCCTGCAAGCTGACCTGGGGGTCTCTGGGGAACTATTGGATGGATTTGGAAAAAAAGCTTAAAGGACACAATTATAGATCACAATAAAATATTTACCAGTGCAAGAACCCCTGTGAGCACACTCAGAGCAATGGTGGATGGATTTGGAAAAAAAGCTTAAAGGACACAATTATAGATCACAATAAAGTATTTACCAAGAACCCCCGTGAGCACACTCAGAGCGATGGCCAAAATCATGCACATTTTAAGCATCTCCCTTACAGGCACTTCTAAAGCTCTGAGGAAGGAGCACTTTGGGCTCCAGCACCAATTTTCATGATGCCAGGACTTAGGGAAGTTATGGAGGCCTGGAAGAAGCTGCTCTTGCACTGGCTACAATGGAGAGATCCTGCAGCACATGTCAAGCTCAGCTGCCAGTGGGACACCGAGGAGCTGAACAAGACTTGATTTATATCCTGCTGCCCTTTGCAGTTTTTATGAACTTCACACCAGACTTGTCAAAACCTGAACCTGTCGAGCTATCAATCTTGTCTGGCACAACAATTTCCGTTGATAATAATAACATTACTGGTCGTGGCAGACACATTTAAGAGATCTGAGTCAATCAGGTCCACATGACTGAAAAGAAGTTGAAGGATGTAATAGTAGATAGTACTGCTGAATTATTGCAAACCCCCTAGTGATACATCTCAAAGGCAATTATAAGTGTTGAAACAACATCAGACAGCTTTGTTTCTTACAAGGGTGGTTCATTGATACATTCACCCCAAAACCAGACAACCATTTTTATTCAACCAGCTTGTATGGCAATGTATGGATGGGAAAACAGGGATGAACATTAAGGATGATCACTGAACAGATGGAGTGAGGTCAGCAGACAAGGGCTGACAGGTGTTGGCAAACTGCAAAAGCCATGAGGACACTGAAGATTTGACAACACATCTTGGAGCAAGGAGGTAAGGAATGTCACTTAGGTGGCTGTGTAGGAGGCAAAAGGGTTACTGAGTCACAGGTGACAAATATCCACGGTGGGGAGAGAAAAACAATAAAATTAGGGGTTTTAATCAAGCAAACCAAGTTGGAATAAAGATCCAATTCCTGTAAGGGCAGACCAGATGAAAAATCAAATACAACCAAGATAACACTGATTGCAACTACTGCAGTGGCTCTGCAAAAATTGTGTCGAATTTTCTCTGGCTGGAATCAATACCCACTGTATGGTGAGACATGAGCTCTGCTCTGCCCTCAGCAGCTGAACCTGAATTAGGACTAAACACACCCATGCCTCAAGCCTGGGCTTTCACAAGCTTTTGGCTGTTACTGCAGGAGATTTCTAGCTCTATTATAAACAGAATGAAAGGAATTACACCTCTTTTGAGTTTTTGCTCCAGCCAGGACCCATATGGCTGCAGCTCAGGTGGCTGCCAGCTCTGGCTGTGGGCACAGGAGCTTGGAGTTCCCCACAGGAATAGCCTCTGGCACCTCTCATTCTCCCTGGGCTCAGGGCTGGCAGGATCCCCGCAGCTGTGCCCATCCCTGGACATTTCCTGGGCTCAGGGCTGGCAGGATCCCTGCAGCTGTGCCCATCCCAGGACATTTCCTGGGGTCAGGGCTGGCAGGATCCCTGCAGCTGTGCCCATCCCAGGACATTTCCTGCGTTTAGAGCTGGCAGGATCCCTGCAGTTGTGCCCATCCCAGGACATTTCCTGGGCTCAGGGCTGGCAGGATCCCTGCAGCATCTTCCCCAGCAGCAGGCACAAGTGCAGTGTGATGGTGGGCACAGGCCAGCACACCAGTAGGACCCAACACACACTAAAACAGCATTATCACTGGTTTTCTGCTCTTGTTTTTTTTTTTTTTTTTTTTTTTTTTTTTTTTTTTTTTTTTTTTTTTTTTTTTTTTTTTTTTTTTTTTTTTTTTTTTTTTTTCCCTCTCTACAGTGTCTTTTCCCTCTCTGTAGAGAGAAGATCCTGCTTAGTGGATACCAGCTTGCAGGTCACTGTGATCTCAATCAATAATGAAGTGCTTCAACACATTGCCATCCTGTTCCAGAGCCGAGCCTGCAGAAGGCATTCAGTGTGTCACCTCCTCCTTCTCCTCCTCCTCCTCCCCCACGAGAGCCGCAGGGCTGCCGGGGATGTACCCCATCAGTGCCTGTAATTAACCACCAGTTAAAAACAACTGGTTGGAGCTTGGGAGTGATTTCAAACGCCCTGCCTCCGCTGTGGGAGAGGTTACTGTGGGCAACCACAAGCTTGCCTGTTTGTAACAATTGCCTTTACACCGACATCCAAACCAAATGTAAAATAGACCAGGCAGAACAGGTCAGGGTGACCCAAAGAGCTGAAGAAAAAAGAAGGGAGCGGGGTATCCGTATTAGCATTAATTTTGTCAGTGTGTCCTGCAGAAGAGGGTTACACTGATGTATGTCTTCTCCTACTTATGGAAACTTCACCAGAAAAAAAGCACTTTAAAATAAGCTAAGAAAAGGGAGTGAGAACTGCACTGCCTTTTGGGCCCTTTGGGGAGAAATCAAACTAAACCCTGTGCTCCTTGGTGAGTCACAAATCAGAGCCACTTCAGTAATAAGTCCTTCAAGACAGTGTTGTTGCAGCCCTGCAGCTCTGGAGGCTCAGCCCATCCCAGCAATGGGGTCAGGATTTAACCCAGAAATGCTGACACCCCCAGCAGTGTGGGCAGCCTCTGTCCCCCTGTGCTGTGCCTGGCTCCTCTCTGCAGCCCCAGAAGCTCCCTCAGTTCAGGGCTTCCCAGCAGGGGCAGGTCTGTCAGCCCCCTTTTCCAGGATATTTTCATCCTCACAGAATCACAGGGTGATTTGGGTTAGAAGGGACCTTAAAGATCATCCAGTTCCACCCCCTGCCATGGGCAGGGACACCTTCCACTATCCCAGGTTGCTCCAAGCCCTGTCCAAGTTTCCAAGGCCTTGGAAACTTCCAGGGATGGGGCAGCCACAGCTACTCTGGGCACCCTGTGCCAGGGCCTCACCACACAGGGAAGAACTGCATCAAATGAACTCAACAAGGAGACACCCAGTGATCAACACTACTTGATAAACAATGAGCAGAAAACCTCAGATTTTGGATAGCAGCACCCCGTCAGTTTTGGAGGCCTACAGGTTTGGGAAGGGAGACAACTTGTAAGAAGAACCCTCACCAGGGACGGAGGAGCAGCTTCCATCCCTCAAAAGAAAACACTGAGGTTGTAATTTCACCAAGAAATTGCTCCTTTCTGCCTTGGAATAATCCCATCAAAAGAGGGGAGTGCTCTGCTCTGAGGCTCCAGGAGCCAGAACCAACTCACCCTGCTGTTTATATTTTTCTAGATTCACAAGGTTTGAAATCAGGGAAAAAAATCCTGAAACACAAAAAAAAGCTACTGAAATTCACCATTTTGGTATCAAAACCCTGAAAATATTTCCTGAGGCTGTATCCATCAGCCCCTTACTGACTGTCCATCCACCCAGGGACACTGAGGGGCCCAGGAGGGGACCCCGGCCGTACCTCCGAGCGTCATGCCGGCCTCGTAGCACTTGCGCAGGCGGCAGGAGGGGCAGTTTTTCCGCCGGAACTTGTCGATGGTGCAGTCGTTGCGGCTGGCACAGAGGTACTTCTGTTTACCTGAAACACCAGAGAGACAGAGCATGGGTGCTGGGTGCCAACAGACACACGGGCTGGGCTCTTTTGGGATCACCGAGGGCGGCCCGGAGAGTTTGGTTCTTGTTTTTTAAATGTCATCCATCTATTGCACGGCTTTTGGTGGTATTCTCCCAAACCAAACCCCACAGTTTGATCCTTCTGCCACAGTACTCACCCATCAGTCCCCTCAGAACCATGATGCTGTACAGACCTTTCTGGGACTGCATTATTTTTTGTGCAACCCATTGATACCAGTTGGGTCTGTTGTCTCCAGGTTGTGGATATTGTTGGGGGGTTGGGGAGTTGCTGCTGCACAGGTGTCTGATGCCACCCTGTCCCCTGGGACGTACCTGCAGTCAGCCAGGAGAAAACTGGGATCAGCAACTCCCTGTACAGGGGACCTTGTGCAGCTGTGGGTTTTGGGGAGGTGCATAAAATTCAGAAGTTACTTTTGGTGAGAGTCACCCATACCTCAGACTCAGCCTGCACTCGCTCAGAGAGCAGCCTGTGCAGCTCCAGGCCACAGCTTTTTTTCACTTTCCCATTTGCCAGACAATCCAAGAATTATCACTTATCAAGTCTGAACACATTTACTGGATCAGGATTTATCTGATGTTCTTCAGTCTGCTCCAAACCAAAGTAGACTCATCACACAACAGAGAGGTGCAGCTTATAGACCCACAGGCAGCCCACATGGGAAAATAGCCCATGGCCTTTATTTATCATCCTGCAGGAATAGACCTTTGGAGTCATCAGAAATCTATGAACAGGATGAGGCTGAATCCAACCCCTAAATGTGCCAGTTTTGGCATGAGATGCACCAATTTTGGTGCACAGATTTTAAAACCCCCACACCTCCCCCATTGCTGCCCTCGCTGCCACTGCCTGCGGCTTTCACACTCCCCTCCTGGGTACCCCCCACTCGTGCCCAGACACAGTTTTGGCAGGACTAGCTGCCACTGTCACCCCCACAGACCCCCCCTGGCAGGGCTCAGCACCCAGCCCACTCCTCCCACAGAGCTCAGGGGCTGCACAAACACCCCATGTTTGACCTTCTCAGAACTGTCCTCTTCAAAGTGGATCATGATCCACCCCTGTGCCTCAGTATCACCTGCATTACTCACCACATCTCACACCTGTTAAATCATTTTAACACTGTCCTCAGAACAGCTCTTCTCACCTTCTCCCTGGCTCATTTCCCATGAGAAGGATACTCATGCAAGCCTTGATGACACCTAAATCCCTAAGGACCCTAAAGGGAGCACAAACACCATCCGCCCTTTCAGCAGCTCATTGAGGAGGAGGATGAGAAACAAAGAACTTCAGCTGAAACTGGGTTACTTGGAGTTATTTTTGTGCCAGGGGCACTGAGCACTGAGGCCACACTCACTCCACTCAACCTTCTTAGGTACTCACAAACGGGTGCCCTACTTTCTGGGGAACGAAGAGCTGGAAGGAGATTTGGCTGCCTGAGCCCTCCAGGGGTGTTCCAGGATCAGGCACAGCTGTGTCAGGAGCAGCACCTCACATTCCCAGTCCCCTGGATCCCAGTCCCTGCTCAGACCCAGGATCTGGACAGATCCCAACATGTGGGCTCATCCCCAGCCCGCTCTGTCCCCCCTGGGCACCCCCAGGAGGGAGCAGGGATGAGGTTTGGTACTGGAGCCCAAGCCTTGCTCCATGAGGCCACTGAGCTGTTCCCCATCTGCTCCCCAGCAGCATCTCCCAGCTCCAGAACTGCTGAGAAGGGACAGGGAGAAGAAGGAGCCTCTCCCATGAGCCAGGAGCAGGCAGAGGGGCCCGGAGGACAAACAGGGCAGGCTGGAGGAGGCTGCAGGGTGGCAGTGCCACCCCAGAGCAGCACAGTCACGGTACAGTGACACTGCTGAGATGGCCAGCCAGCTTCATGGTTCATGGACAGGCTCCTTGGGGCAGGAACCTGCTCTCTGCTGCCTGAGCCTGCACAAGTGAGCCCTGTTTGCTTTATGCTGTGCTCCAGTAACAAAAAGAGAACCCAACAGCCACAGCTGGTCATGGTGCTGCTGCTGCTGGGTGTGAGAATGAGCTGAGCTCACCTCTCCCTAATTCCTGGGGATGCAGAGATTTCCCCTTAATCACCAGGAAAGGAACCACCAGCTCTAAAAGGCGGGAGAACAGGGAAGGGTGGCTGGAATGTGCACGAGTTCCTTCCCTCTGAAGTGAAGTTCCTTCCCTTCTCATACACAGAGACCTGTTTCTAATTTCAGGGCAATTCACTCTCTTCATTCCAGAGCAAGGTGAGACATTTACAATCAGCTGTTCTTTATTTAAAGATAAATGTGCTGGCTTTTCCTTCTCTAGAGTTTAACACTGAAACTACCTCTTTGTTTTCCTTTTCTCCCCTGCAAACAACAGAGATGTTTTCTCAGGTCACTCCAAAGCAGAGGCTCTTGCTTTGCAGAACTGTACATACAGGTCCAAACCTCACACCCACTCTGGGGTGTTCCCCAGGGGTCCCACTCTTTGCAAGGCCCATCACCCAGCCTGTCCTTCCCCCACTGCCCAGCTGAGGACACTGCAGATGTCACCCAGAGAAGCCTCACCTCCTCCCCTGACCCCAGGTCTTGTCTGACATGTGCACAGATGAGGGGGGAAGTCACTCCCAGCAACCCCTGCTTTCCAGACCAGCACAGGCACCCCAAGAGAGCATCTTTGCAGCAGCCCCCACCATGAACACACTGCAGTGCTTGTGTCCCCTCTGCCAGGAGTGTCCCCCCCACCTTGGGCCCCTCCTGGTACCCCTCACACCAGGCAGAAAGAGTCTTCCACCACCTCTGAACCCTCCCACTCATCTCCTGGGACCACAGCACACACTGGGAGCCAAGGGGAAGAACTGCTCTGCAATTCTTCTTGACTCAAAATAATGATTTATGGAGGTGAGTTGCTCAATCCAGAGGAATCATCTAACTAACAGCCTGTTGCCACACGAGCTGTTGTGCCCAGACTAACTTTCTCCTCCAGACAACAAAGTAATCTCTGCAAACATCTGGAGCGAGATATACGACTATAAATGTGAAAAACCAGTAAATGCCTTTTGGAAGACAGAGATCCTCATATTTCAGGACACAAACTGAATTTTATCAGCTGGGGGATAAGGCCAAGCTTTCTGCGAAAGCAACTCCCCTGGGTCTCATGAACCATGGAGGCTCCAGAGCTCCCCTGGAAAGCCTCTGGTCCTTGGGGCTGTCACCAGCAGGGCCATGCCCAGAGCTGAGCCTGTGGGTTTGGTGCTGGCACCCTTCCCACATGATGCAATAACTCAAGAGGGCTCAGCCACAAGGCTCCCAGGAGCCAGCACTGAGCCACCTTTCCAGAGTGGTTTCCTGAATAGCCCTCTGTATTTACCAGATGGCTACAGTGAGCACAGGGAAAGCACCCAGAGCTTTCCCTGTGCTCTGGTTGTCCCATCTTTTGCTCTTCCCTTGGCATTTTAAGGCAAATAACACCCAAACAGTCATGAGAAACCCATCACTGGAGCATTGAGATGCTGCAGCACCACTGAGTCTTCTGCAGACTCAATTTCTTTGCACGTCGCATCAGCCTGGGAAGGAGGAGAAAGTTTTTTTATAACATGGCAAGGAACTTTGCAAACGTTTGCTTTAACTTGGTGTCATCTTGAAATCTGGCAAGAAACTGTTGAGTTGGCCCAGAGACATCTCTCTGGTGTAAGGCTAATCCTCAGCAGGTCAGAACATAGAACACTAATCCATATGGAGAATGATGGAGGCACTCAGAGCAGCCTGCACAGCAGCCTGGCTGGCTGCCTGCTAGGAAAATTGCCAAATACTGTGTTATTTTTTTCATTTAGCTCTCTGCTATTTAAAGACAGCCCCATCAGGAGCACAGCCCAAAGCATCCCAGTCCTACACTGCCAGGAATGCTGTGTGGAGGCAGCTCTGGGCTGGCTAAGGTCACCACCAGATCTCAGAAACCTCAGAGGGACAAGGAAGGTCTGCTTCTCTCCAGGGATACATGCAGAGACACGATGATCCCCCTCCTGGACAGAATGGGAGAGCAGGAACCCCTGGGCTGCTAACTGACACAGGAGCTGCCTTGTTTGAAGCACTTTTCTGTTTCAGGGACAAGGGTGGCATCACAAGGACTGAACTCCCATGTCTTCAACCATGTCTTCAACCCAGCCCAGCCATGCTCACCACACCCAGAGGTGTCCTGCCTGTAGGGAAAAACAACTTTGCTGAGCTGGATGAGCTTTTTGCTCACCAGGTGAGGAGGGGGAGCCCTCCTTTGTGGGCAGCAGGGGAGCAGCACCCTGTGACACCCAGCCCTCCCTGCTGGGGCTCTGGGGCTGGTGACTGCAAGGGTGGGCTGGGCTTGGTCACCAAACGAGGGTGGTGACCTTACAGGCAAGGCAGTCCCACCAAAATGTGGGGTGTGCTTCAGGGCTGGCCTGGACACAGCCTGGACATCTTGAGAGAGTCTGTGAATCACGAGAGCTGGCAAAACGAGACAGGACAACATTCCTGTCTTTTCTGTTAACTCTTCAGCATCTTTCTGGAAAAAGCAGTTGAACCTGAACTTGTGAAACCCCTCAAATCTGTCAAATATTCCATCAAAGCAGAGGTGACCTGCTCCTACCCATAAACCCCTCAGTGTGTCCAAAGGGAAGAAGAATCAGTGTCACAACCTTTTTTTTAAATCACCTTTCTCACCCCTTAGAAGCCAGTGCATGTCTATAAAACCTCCTTAAATATCCCTGAATCCCTGCCAGATAAGTTCACTATTATCTCAGAGGAATATAATAAAAAGGAAATGATGTGCCCAGCTATTTCCCTCCCCTCCAAGAAGCTGTTTGTGCTGCTCCAGTCACAGCCCTCTGCTGCTCCCTCCACTAAAGGCTGTGGCTTGACACCAGCTCCAGGAAGGTAACAGGTTTCTTTTCTCATGGGGAAGCATTTTGATCTACTGCTGTGAAGTCTCCAAGGGCGACCTAAGGTTTCTGAGAGGCATTTTATGGACTTTAAAACATGAGAACGCGCTGAAATATCAGCTTTCAGTAATGCTCCTCAGCTTTAAGAGGGAAGAGATCTGTCTGGAAACTCACCAGAAGTCAGAACAGAAATCACCACCTGCCATCTCTGCATTCAGTACCTATAAAGGAGCACAATTTACTGTCACTTCCCCAAAATAAAGACTTAGCCATGTACCTCAGGGTAGCATAAGATGAAATCTCACAATCTGGCAGCCCCCCTGCCCCTCTCTGCACACATATATGGAAAGGAACAGGAAAGACAAAGGGCTGCTGCCCAATCCCAAACGACCAAACACTCCCAACCCTCTGCCACACTGTGAGGCTGAAGAACCAGGAAGAAACATAAACACAATTTAAATTAATTATATATATATATATAATATATATATTTTATATATAGCACAATCAGGAGAGGGAACAGCTCCACAGCACGTGCCTCAGAGCAGCCCAGGCTGCCCCTCTGCCCGTGGGCACCTCCAGTCCCTGTCAGCCACAGGACAGAGCCCACCCTGGTGCCAGGGGAGCACAGCTCCCACACCCACCCGCAGACACAGGCACTCCAGCAGCAGCGCATCTGACTGAGAGCCAGGGCTCCACTTACTATAAATCAACAATAACTTGCTGACTTAAACAAGCATCTGTTATTTACTCTGGCTGCACAAGCCAACCCACTTGGCTTGACACAGAGCTGGTGTGCAGCAGAGACAGATCTGCAAATGATTTACTTGGGAGAAATATGCAAAATTTGTTAACTATTATTTGACTGCCCTTTTTGGCAACACTGATGTCCCCTGTGGCATAGCCCCTATTCTTCCCTGAACCAGCACTGACAAGCTGGCTCCTGGCACAGAGGAATGAGGGAAACGTGACTCCAAGAAGAGGCAGGATAATGATAATTGATCTAATTGATGTAAAAGCAGCATTCTGACAACAGCAGGTGAGCACCCCTAGCCTGGGACCTCTGCTCATAGACAGGAGAGGTTGGGCACAGGGGAAGGTCATGGTGAGACAGAAGCTCCATCCTCATCTCTGGTGCCAAACCAGTGACACCCAGTGTCACCCACAGTGAAACCCAGTGACACCAGCTGCCAATGGCATGCCCACATAAACTGTGTTAGCACCAAGGAATAATGAAGGCTTGTGTTGGTTCATCTCTCCTGACAGCAAGCCTGATGAGTGACTACAGGCACGTTACACTGCCAGGCAGTTCATCTTCCACATCAGAGACTCACTGCTGCCCAAGAACCACTCTGAACTGCAGGTAGAAAGCAGCCCTTGCTGAGGCACAGCCTAAGGAATCAGCTGGGCTGGCTGCTTCTGCTCATTCCCCAGGAAAGGTGGTGCAAAGACCTCGCTGTTGAGAGGGAACATTTGGGCTCCCCCTTATCCCTGGAGAGCCTGACACTATGGAACTGGACATGAAGGAGGAGTTGCTTTCTCACAGGCTGGAGAGAAGGATCACAGACCCCAAGGCCAGAGCAGGCCTCCTGATGGACACAGGGTTGTGCTGTTTCATGGGCAGTCGCAGAAGGGACCCTCTGGAAGGGCTGCAGGAGAGGAAAAGCCTCCCCTGAACACCAGTTGTGCATCTGGGACTGCAGGTGGGCTGATGGGAGCTTAAAGCACTCTGGAGAGTCAAGAAGAGAAGCAGGAACTGACTGCTCCAGGCTCTCACCAGGTCACTAAGATAATCACGGAACACAGAAACATTTGGGCTGGAAGGGACCTTAAAGACCATCTTGGTCCACACCCCTGCCATGGCAGGGACACCTTCTCAGAGACCAGGTTGCTCAATGCCACTGGAAAGAATTGTATTTTGGCAAACTGGTTTGGCTACTTTATGAGAGCAATCTGTAAAACGAAATGACAAACGCCGGAGAGAAAAATCAATTCATCCTTGATTTTTCTCCTTTCCAGGTTTAAGAGATCTGAGAATGCCACCACAGTGGGGCAGTGACCTTCCCTCTCCTGTCCCCATTACCTTCAGCTGCCCGTTTGAAGAACACTTTGCAGCTCCCACATGTCAGGGCTCCATAGTGGCACCCAGATGCTTCATCTCCACAGATCAGACAGGTCTTCTGAGGTGGGAAGTAATAGTCAATGGGCAGGACATGGTCACGGCCAGGCTCCAACCTGCAGCATAAACCAGAGAGAGCGAGAGGAGGGTCAGCAAATGTGCTCAGGACAAGCTGTGGGAGCAGGGTCACGGCAAACCCAGAACGGCAGTGATGGATCAGCCAAGCTCTGAGCAGCAAGAGGGTGAGCAACAACTGAGCCAAGCCTGGCCCTGACCGTGCAGAAACCCTGCTGGCTGCCCCAGCTGACACTGCCCACTGCGTGCAGTGTGTGACAAAGTGTGACAAAGTTCAGTGACAGTGACACAGTGACAGCACAGCCTAGGCACAGAAGGCGACTGAGACTGGCTGTTGCAGTGCTCATGGAATTTTGGCTTCAGCAATGAAGCTCACACACCAAACAAGGCAGAGCACAGCACTGCCAGCCACTCGATGCCACCTTAACCACCATGCCAGAATGTCCCAGCCCCTGACTCCCCTTCTCCAACACCTCACCATTCCACACACCCACATTCTCCTCTCTCAGCTGGTACTGTCCCCTCCCCAACCTGACCTGATCTGTATGATCGGATCCATGGAGAAACTGCTTTTCCAGAGGGCATGGCAGGAGGAGAGGGGCTTGTCAAATCAGGAGCCAACATGTCCAGGCAGTTTGGAAAGCACCAGCACGTTGAGTTAATTACCAGAACTCATTAAACTACTGAATGAGGCAATTAGCTTTTAACAGTCTGCAAGTCACTGCAACTTTTGGGTTAAATTAGATCCCCTTTCATTTTTTGCATTGTTTATTGCTTGCAGGTGAGCTCTGAGAAATCAGGTTACATCAACAGTGAGTGTGACAAAGATGGGACTTGTTGAAAAACCCTTTATGCCCAGAAAAGCCCCACTGTCCTCGCCTGTCCCTCACCTGGGTGCTGTGCAGATCCCACCTCAGTTTCAGGTCAGTAACTGGAGCAGCAATTTCATCCTCAGTTCTTATGGTAGAAACCTTTGGAGTGATTTCTCATCTCTTTAACAGGAGCAGTCAGTGACTGATCTGTAGATGCAGCTCAACCACCCTTCCCCAACCATCTCCATTTCCAAGGCTTTTCTGGAATTACTGATTAAATGGAGGAGACACAGTTGGCTGCACTGTGCCTGCCATAGTCAAGCCCTGTTGCAAGCAACGTGTTCCTGTCTTGTCTTATGTGTCATCCCACCTGTGTGTGATCCCACCACCACCTCAGGGGGCTCCCACATCCCCCCATGTGCCCCAGAGCCCTGGCACTGGGTGAGAGGGGCTGTTGGAGAGCAGACCCTGCTGAGGAATACCAGCAGCACACACAAAAGCCTGGCTAAAAATGTCTTATTTATCCAGTGTTTTAGGTTCACACATAACAGCCCTTCCTGCTAATGACCCAACACCTCTTTACTCCTCTCTGTGCAGTCAGGAATCCAGCAGAGCTCGTTTCCCTGTTTCCATCAGGCTTCCCCTCTGTCTCCCCCATGCTCAGCACTGTGTGCCATCAGCAGCAGGGCTTCTCACAGCAGGTGTCGTGACAACAGACACAGGACTCCCTGGGGTGTTTTTGAGGATCAATTATCTGAAACTGCAATGCAGGTTTGCAATTGAGTGACTTCTGAAACAGCTTTTAAGAGCTGTTCATGTATGGAGAGATTTGTGCAAGTACAGAAACACCTTCCAGCAGGTGTTCACCCAGAGTACCCCATACATGTGCCCCTGCCAGGGATGGGGCTGGGCAGGGCTCCCCACACACCCCTCCATGCTCAGCCACCCTTGTCCCCACTGCCACCAACAGATGGAGACTGGAGGACACTGGCTGACATGGAAGGTGATTCCTGGCCGTGGGACAGGCTCCTCCTGGGGAAAGGCTTGGCAGGGCGTGCACAGCCCCACACCCCAAGGGGCAGGAGGTGGTGTTTGGGCAGGTGGGGAGTGGTTCTACTACAGGCCCTGCAGCACCAAGGTGGTTCCCTGCCAGCAGCCACTGCCCAGAGCTGAAGCATCTGCCCAGGAATGCCCTTGACTTTAAAACAACACCAGTTTGCCTTTTCTTTCTTATTTTTAGAGCGAGAATTGCAAGAAAAACATAATGTAAAAATGTTCTAGCAACTCAGAATGAGCTATGCTAATGGTTCCCTTAACGATCCATTTTCCAGTTTCCAAGGGACATTACAGGGTGCTCTCAAAACGTGCAGGTAATACATAATACAGGCCAATGAGCCAAAGTGGTGCCTGGAGAAGCTGCAGGGCTGGCAGTGCTCTGGGCAGAGCCCCAGGTGCCAGTGCCCAGCAGTGCCACAGCCCCTCACCACCACTGACGGCACAGGAGGGACACGAGGTGTGGCACAGCATCCGCCTCACCAGCAGCAGCTCCAAAACTTTCCTCCGGCTGGAAGCTTGTACTCCATGGGGCTGTGAGAGCCACAAGAGTGCTCAGGTCAGACCAAAACAACTGCAGGGGGCTCTCAGACAGGACAATGTGTGGCAAGTGTCAGCCCCTCTGCAGAGCCCAAAGCAGGCGATAGCGGCCGGGCAGACACAACCGGGACGGCGACGGCAGCAGCGCTGCCAGAGCCAGCGCCAGCCCCAAGGCCAAGGTCGTGGCTGTCACAGAGGAGCCTGGTGGCTTTTGGGGGCAGGGAAAAACAGCCTCGGTATCTCTTCTACAGCTCTAGGATGAGTTTTACTCTCATCTCAGAAGGGTTCTGTAAGGAAGTGGAGGATTCGCTGAGCTCCCCTCACACGCAAATATTTCTGGGGAGTAGGAACTATCATGTGATGAAGCATTTGTTTGTCATTAGTTAAATTTCACCAAGCAGCCACATTTCACAACATCCCCAGAACGCCAAGAGCAGGCATTGGTAAAAGAGGAGCCAGCCACTTCTCCTGATCCACAAAGGAAATTTCCGTCTCAGCACCAGCAGGCACAGGCTGCTCGAAAGGAGCCGTGGCACAACTGCCCCCTTGACCATGACTTCCCACCCCTAAGCCAGACCAGGACAAAATTATAGCAGCTGCCACACACCCCCAGCTCATCCCACTCAGGAACCCCAGAGCAGAGTGCCCTGGTCCCACACTCCCTGAGGAAAGGGGGTTTGCACCTTCACCGTGCTGTGTCCAAAACCTGCACATCTGTGATGCTCAGGAGGATGCTGAGACCAGAAGTGAACCAGCACTCACTCACAAATTCAGGTGCTCAGGAGGATGCTGAGCTCAGAACTGAGCCAGCACTCACACATGAACTCAGGTGACACAGAACCCTTCCCAGTCATTTCAAGTATTGTCATTTCTGGGACACTCTGATGCTATCAGGGGGAATCTCTGCCTTTAAAACAGCATTACCTGTGCATGACACTCTCTAATGCAATATTAAATTTAATTGGCTTCCCCTCAGTGCAGCTGTGGTGCTCATGCCTGGATGAATTCTGTGACTCCTATCAAAAGGCCAGACCCATGCTCAGCAAAGGGCACATCCTCGTGTCCCCTTGCACTGTCATTTGGCTGCTGCTGGCTCCAGCCAGAGCTGAACCAAGCCTGCACTCACAGCCACCACATCACACTCATCCAGATAACAAGGCCTGCACAGAAACTTTAAAGCATTCATCTGTTAAAACGCTTTTGGCCATTTAATCTATAAACATGCAGCTTTGTACACTGAATTCATGTCCTTTCTGCTAAATAGCCTTCAGTATTTTCCATTCTGCTCATGCCTTGTTTTTGTGTGTGATGGCAGCAGAGGCACGACAGCATCTGAGAGCAGAGCAGGGTGCAGCATGAGCCCCAGGCCTGCTAAACACACACAGGAGCAGGATCCTCACCAGATTTAAATAAATATTAGCAGATGACAATGGGTTTTCCAAGCATCCCAGCAGTGCAGAATGCCAGAAGGAGCGCACCTCAGAGAAAGCAAATGCCCTCCCAACAGCAACTCACAGGAGCAGCCTTGGCTCTCCAGCCCTGGCACTGCCTCCCAGCCCCAGGGGCACACACAGCTTCCACAGGCACAGCTGCACAAATCCCTTCTCAAAACCCAAGTTAAACTGGTTTTTTGTTTTTAAAACTCTGTTTCCTTATTTTGACAGTTTATTTTTCACACAGCGCATCCCCACTGCAGCTGAAGCCCTGCCACTCCCAGCCCTTTTCTCTCCTGTGCCCCTCTGCAGTGCATGAAGGCTGCTGCAGCCCTGGAGCTGCATGGACCCAGTCACTGTTTGTCCCTGCACTCAGGGGACAGCCCCAGCCTGCCACCTGACCCACTGAAGCACTGCACATAACCCAGCCTGCCAGGGAGTCCCCTCATTTAATGGCCATCCTGGGCTCCCACCTTCCCATCTTCATAAGGAAGAAGCAGAAAATGAGCTTACAAAGGTGAAAGGTGGCAGGTTTGCTACACGTGGGATGCAAAGCCTGGGAGAAGCCACCCTGCAGCCTCTGCACCTCACCAGTGGCCACAGCAGAGGCTGCTGCCTGCATTTGGTAGAGCTCACAGCAAAACTTCTGCCTCAGAGCCTGATGTCCATCCAGAGGCTCAGGGAGCAGCTTAAATAAATCAGCTCAGAGAAGATGGAACACTTGATCCCCCAGACAGAGCAGGTACCTTACGAAAGGAGATGGCAAAAGCACATTGCAAGGTCACTTCAGATGGGAACTCACCTGATTACAGAGCACAAAGGGGACAAAAAAGCAAACAAGGAGCAGCAAGGCTGCAGGCAGGCTGCAGCCCCAAGGAGCACTCCCGAGGCCATCAGAGCCCTACACTGTATCCTCCTGGTGACTGCAGAGTCACCTGGAGTCACCAAGGACAGGACCTTGGCATCCTTGTTGCACAGAGAACCCTACTTATTTTCCAAGGAAACATTCTGTCCTCACTGATATTTACGCAGTTAGTTTAAGCCACACCATAATCTTCCATTTTCAAATCCATCTCCTCTGCTCACAAAAGGAAAATGTGCCTGTAAATAAAATCACAAATAATGAGACACTTGATACATATATTTCATGCTCCAAGAGACACTGTCGTGATGCCAGATGCAGGTAGAGGCTTACCCAGGAAA